GTATTTATCCATGCATTCAACTGAACAGGTTACTCCGCTTAGACCTGACATTTTATCTAATCAAAATGGCCCGGATATACATGTTAAGAATTGATTGAACATCTTTTTTTGTCTGTGAGCCAGACTAGTTTCGGAGAATTCCACTCCTCATCAGTGACCCTGAACACTACCACCAATGAAATATCAGACCAAACCAAGCCTTTATATTAGTGAAGTATCGAACTGGTGTATTTAAGTGTTTTACACTCACAAAAACACTTAAATACACCAGTTTGAATGAGTAGTACTGTTCTATCCTCTTTAGTATTGACCACAAAGTTCGAAGGTACTTCACCTGAGAGTTTTCTCTTCTAACCTTTTCACATTTATTTCCTATGCTTATTTTACTAAATCACCATTCCTGGTATTAGGTTGTTTACGTGATACCATAATACGACACGTTGATAGCCAACAAGCTCATATGATGTAATTGCCGTAACTTTCCCACAAAGTTTATCATAATTATGGCTCTGAAAACACTAGGAGAAGATTTATTGGCTTGGTTACAGCACTGTGGTTGCAACAAGAATTGTCTAAAGTAATAAAATAGCAAGAATATGTTTATGATATGGCTCTGTACGAAGTCTGGGCTGATTCAATTAAACTTGGTAGGTGCTTGGATGTTAGTTATCCTCCCAGGGTGTTGGAATTTGCATTATAAATGTACAAGGTACATCATTGCTTATAAACATGTATATAAATTACTCATAAATGCTTAATTTTGAGTTGTTGTTTTTTTTTTGGAAACCTAAAACAATAATAAAAATATATAGAAAAACTGATTTTTAGTACTTATGATGTTATAAAATTTATTTATACTTGTGCATCATATTTGCTAAGCCTTGCTGTAAGCCTAGTTTATTCCTTCCAATGGTTGGGGAAGATAAAATATTTTTTTCAGATTTCAAAGACGCATCTTAGAAAACCAAAAAATTATCAGATTATTATACTGGTACACTTAAAACCACTGTAATTTACCTGGCTTTCTAACTAGGCTATATGTTGTTAAAAAAAAAATCTAATTTCTGTTCAGAGCAATGACGTACTCAATAGACTTTAACATTCCAGTTATATATTAGATGGGCTCGGCACGGCCAGGTGGTTAAGGAGATCGACTCGCAATCTGCAGGTCGCGGGTTCAAATCTCTGTCCCGCCAAACATGCTTGCCCTTTCAGCCGTGGGGAAATTATAATGTGACGGTCAATCCCACTATTCATTGGTAAAAGAATAGCCCAAGAGTTGGTGGTGGGTGGTGATGACTAGCTGCCTTCCCTCTAGTCTTACACTGCTAACTTTGGGATGGCTAGCACAGATAGCCTTTGTGTAGCTTTGCACGAAATTCAAAAACAAACAAACATGCATACATACATACGTTTTTCCATCAAGTCAATTACAAATGATTGTCAGGCTTACGTAGTTTAGAATGTGTTCTTTCTATTGGTTAGAGATTTAATGATACTGTTTTGCTTTCTCTCACCCAGCCACTCTACAATCCAGTTAAATATTCATTTCCCAATATTGCCCCAATATTTCATTAAATGATTATACTTAAACTGGTTTGTAATTTTGTTCATTGGAAGATTAATTAAAGTTCCAATGGTTGGTAAAACTTCTGTCTTTTACTAATCATTGTAATGTGAATACTTAGTAACCCAAAATGGCATAGAATGCACCAGATAGCACATGGGTTCTTGTGGTTTCCAATAGCTGCTTAAACCCTTGGAACTATGGTTTTAAAAAGGATCAGGTAAAAGTTTTATTTGCCATTCTCATCCCTGTGTGTTTTATCATTTTTTACAACATGCTTATTTTTAATTAACCCTTTGTATCTGAGCCTGGCCCAACCTGTTAGAGAGTTAGATTCAAAATTTAAATAAGCAATTTTATTATTCATGTATGTCAAGAAACTTGGCCTGAAAATGTAGTTCAAATGTTTATATTATCTAAGTTTTAATTTTTAATCTCAAAAATAAATATTTAAAAAATTCCCAATCTTCATTTTTCTGTGCCATGTGGTGCATCTGAGCTCTGACTTATCCACTTCAGAATATTATAATTTAGAAAATATGCAGCTATAGTTTCTAACCAATTACAAACACACATTCTACATGATAAAAAGTAAGAATCTAAAATTCAAGCCTCGTATCTTCCTGATTTGCTGGCCTAGCATGGCCAGGTGGTTAGGGCGCTCGACTCACAATCTGCATGTCGTGGGTTCGAATCCCCTTCACATCAAACATGCTCACTCTTTCAGCCATGGGGGGCATTATAATGTGACGGTCAACCCCACTGTTCATTGGTAAAAGAATAGCCCAAGAGTTAGCAGTGGATGGTGATGACTAGCTGCCTTCCTTCTAGTGTTACACTGTTAAATTAGGGATGGCTAGTGCAGATAGCTCTCGTGTCACTTTGCATGAAATTCATAACAAACAAACAAACCTGATTTGCTAAGATATCAAAAAAAATTGTCAAACCCACCAGAGAAGCCCCTTCTTTCTCTGACTTTTAAGATTGTTTGTTGATATACTTTAGGCAGCTAATGTTTATAACCATTAAAAAGAGAAAGAGCAAATTCTCCTCGTCTTATATCTTACAGTTTTTGTTCAGTTATGCTATCATAAGCTATTGATCAAGGAGAGTTGTTTGGTTTGTGTAAGTAATTTTGAACAATATATTCTAGGGACTGATATATTTACACTATAAATTCCACCCCACTTATTATTGAACTAGCTCTTACCACATATTAAAGTTTTCCTGGTGTTCATTTTCTAATTCCAATCTATCTGCCAACATTGTAAATTTAACTAGAATGAAGCTATGTAATAGTATGGGTATGTTTAATTATAAATTAATCTAATGGTATAAAATTCCCTTATTAACTAATACTGATGTTACTAATTGCTACAGATGTACATCATGTCTGGTTAGTAATTTTGCAAAATTTGCTAAATTATTTAAACACTTGAAAGCTACTAAGAAATAATGGAACAATAATTTCAAATTAGAATCATTTAATTTGCTGCCTTATTTAGTTAACTCTTGTATTAAATATTTATTTCTATCTCATATTTAATAATTTTATCACTAGTATCTTAAAGTAGCAGTTCCCATACTGTGGGTTGCAACCTACTAGTGGGTGCAAGGGGTATCGGGGTGAGTTGCAGAATAACATCTAGTAAAGTATATTTTCATTTTAAAATTATTTATAAAATGTTTTTAGATAAAATAAAAATACAAAACATGAGAGCACTACTACACTATGTACTAGTTTTAATAAATATTAGAACAGTAACCACCATCTTCTCAGTTGAGCTTGGGTCCCAGAACTTGGTGGTTACTCAGGTGGTTATTGAGTTGGGAATTTGGGAAAGTCACTATTCTAAAGTACTGCCTAAAAACAAACAGCAGAATTAGGCCTATTGTTGTAATTTTAGGTTTAGTTGTATCTACAGTAAAGAAACCTAAAAAGTGTTCAGTCGTACCTAACCTAATAAATAATTTAAAGCTTTAAATACTAGCATAATAATACTTAACTTTTCGAGCAAAATGTTATCTTTTGCTGCTTCTACAAGTACTTGTAATTTGTCTGTCACAGAGCTCAAAAGTATTTCAAACTCAACAGCTTCCTCAACTAGTTATTTTATGGGAAATTTCCCCAAAACCACTCTGGTTAATTAAACATCGTTTAGTCCATATTAAACGTCTGTTTATTGTCATCCATATTTTTTAAGAGGAAAGTTGTAGTCTTTATTTGCGTAAGTTACTGTGTATACACTAATTAAATATAACGTGATAGGTAATTTGACATCTCAAATATATTTGAATATGAAGCCTTAGTTAATTGTCACTTATTTCCATTCAGTCACTATCTTACAAATTCTGTGTTCATCACTTATTCTCTATCAGTCACCATCTAATGACTCCTGTGTTTGTCATTGTCTCTTTTAGTCACTATCTTAATGAATCCTGTGTTTGTCACTTATTCTCTATCAGTCACCAGTCTCTTTTAGTCACCATCTAATGACTACTGTGTTTGTCACTGTCTCTTTTAGTCACATCTAGTGGATCCTGTGTTTGTCACTTAGTTTCTTTCAGTCACCATTTTATGAAAAGTTTAGGAAAAAACGACCTTTATACTCCGGATATATATATAAACGAATTTTTTTATTTTAACTAACGTTTCACCTTTGCAGCATCATCAGGGTTAATATGCACAATTGTTTGATATTAGAATATACATTAAATTATAAAACTGTTTGTAATGTTCTATTTCTTGAGTCTGCCATAACATGAGTTTAACAATGTATAGACTATTATTATTGTTTCATTATTGTTCTAATATCATAGTATAGTTATAATATTAACTATGTAGCTATACTAACGTTATGACATATATTACTTTTATATATGAGATATAAAAAATAAAGAGAACTACAATATGTTTTATGATTAACTAAAAAAATGTATATATATCTGGAGTATAAAGGTTGTTTTTTTTCTAAACTTTTCAACAAAATGTGTAAATTCCCCCAGTATGTATTACAGATTTTGAAAGATCATTTTATGAAGTTTGAATTTATCACTAAACTTGTTCAGTCACTGTCTCGTGTGTGTTTTTGATTAAACTCTGGTATTTCAAAGTTAAATTTGAAATTTTCTAAATCTGTATGTTAACTCCTCCTTTTTTTTAAACAGTTTCAAAACTAGTTATAACTTACAACAGTTTTTAATGTAACAGTTTGAGAAATCATAAACTTGTGCTTAAAAACATTTAATCCTGTTTACTTCAGTTGGTGTGGAATGAAAGATTCCTCATTAAAAGATGAGAAACTTCTGTGCAAATGTTTCCTCGCAGAACTTGGTTTAAATGCTGCTTAGAAAAAGTAAATAAAAATGTTTTTATCACATGAATACTTAATACACAGGACATTTAACTTCTAAATCTGATTTTTACTCACAGGGCAAGATGGCATCTCTCTTTTTCAATAAAGGTATGTTTGTATTTAAAGTTCTTATTATAATATTAAAGTTCAGTAAAAATTTGTGTGTTTGAGCCTGTTATTTCAGTGATGGTGAGAACTGTTTTATTAAGGGTTTCTGTGTGGATTTAATTGATATTATGGTAGAAGCTGGAGTAGTTTCAGTAAGGGTGGATTCAGACCTGGTATGGTAAGAATGGAAACTGTTTCAATAAGGTTGTCTTTCTGGGTTTAGATTATGGTAATGGTGGAAACTTTTAGAGTAAGGCAGTCTGTGTGTGTTAGGTTTAGACTTGGTATTAATTCTTTCAGCTCGGGCTCGGACCCTGGGATTGACCACGTAACCATTTTGTGCTTGTTATATTTTTTATGCTATAACTTTTAAATTAGTAAGCAAATGTTAACGAAATTTGGCAGATTATCAGTAAACATTACAATGCTTTCATTCGCAAAATATCTAATTTGTTTTATTAAGTCTTAAGGTTTGTAAAGCAGTGTTTTTCTCATGCCTTTTTTTTTCACATCTTGCCTATCTATCATGCAATGTAATTTTCATTTTAGGATTAAAAATACTTTTATGCATCAGAAAATTTTGAAATTTAACAAGCAAAATCTTTATAATATCCAGATAGTTATCAAACATTTCTTAGAAAAAACTTTATAGTTTATCTGTTATTTTCAGTAATTATTCTCTGTACGGGTTTGGTAGATTTGACCAATTTCGCAACCACCATAATAATTGGGAAATAAACATAAATTATGCCAATTTCATTCTAGAATGAACACAAATTATAACACAAAAACATAAATGTTTAGACAAAATAGCTTAAGTCTCAAACATTATACATTTATATATATATATATTTATTATTTTTATTATATTGTCTTTCACTCATGCCTGGCGAACAATACAGAAGTTACAATGACACAGCTCATGTGCACATATGTTACCGTATCAAATAACATAAAACTGACCTTTGGTCTGTACAAAGTAGCTTGTCTTGACTGTGTTTTAGTCAACTAGTATTTTGTAAAATTTGTACATTTCATTTATTATACACGATATATGTATATAGATTATTGCTATTTTGAAATAAGTTCTTAAACTTATTTTTCCTAAAACATAGAACAGTAAATAAAGAAGCAAAGTAAACAATTCTCTTCTAGTTACGACCTTTATACTGCTTGACGTAAGTT